AACCTGATTCCCTTTCGATACACGAGGCTGCATACAAACGCAAGGACGAACCCCACGCCTCAAACAGCCCAGCTTTCAAACGGAATTATCCTATCTCTTAGGATCGACTCACCCGTGTCCAATTACTGATCACACGGAACCTTTCTCCACTTCAGTCTTCAAAGTTCGCATTTGAATATTTGCTACTACCACCAAGATCTGCACTAAAGGCCGTTTCACTCAGGCTCACGCCACGAGCTTCTTCACGACCTTCACGCCCTCCTACTCATTAACGCGTACATTATAAATGCTATCGCGCTAACGGCAAAGTATAAGTAGCCCGCTTTAGCGCCATCCATTTTCAGGGCTAGTTCATTCGGCAGGTGAGTTGTTACACACTCCTTAGCGGATTCCGACTTCCATGGCCACCGTCCTGCTGTCTAAATGAACCAACACCTTTTATGGTATCTAGGTGAGCGAGCATTTTGGCACTTTAACTTTGCGTTCGGTTCATCCCGCATCGCCAGACGAGCTTACCCCGTATGGCCCACTAGCAACTTGATATTCACATCCACAAGTTCAATTAAGAAACCTGCAGGTCTTACAGATTTAAAGTTTGAGAATAGGTCGAGGAAGTTTCTTCCCCGAATCCTCTAATCATTCGCTTTACCTCATAAAACTATCGTAAATAAGTTGCTGCTATCCTGAGGGAAATTTCGGAGGGAACCAGCTACTAGATGGTTCGATTAGTCTTTCGCCCCTATACCCAAGTTTGACGATCGATTTGCACGTCAGAATCGCTACGAGCTTCCACCAGAGTTTCCCCTGGCTTCACCCTACTCAGGCATAGTTCACCCATCTTTCGGGTACCAACATATGTGCTCAAACTCAAATCTTTCACCACGAAGGTTCATGATCGGTCGATAGTGCCACACCGCAGACCGAAGCCCGCAGCATTTCCTACCTCAGACAACTTACGCTGCCCTTCACTTTCATTTCGCGCTGGGGTTTCCACACCCTAACACTTGCACACATGTTAGACTCCTTGGTCCGTGTTTCAAGACGGGTCAAATCGCTCCATTTCGTCAACGTCCCGAACGGCAACAAGTTAAAACCCACATCAATCCACACACAACCACACACGCATAGCAAGCTATCCGCACACGGCGCACACAGAGACACAGGCCCACTCAAAAACACGTTGTAGGCACCTCAGTCCCAACCGCGACTACTCGTCCACCAAGATATAACAGACAAACGCAAGCGTAAGCCCTACCTCCTCGGCGGCCATTTCCCGCAGCATACGAACTGACCTTGACGTCCCACCGCAGCACAGGGCACCAGCAAGCACACACAGCACACACGCCGAGCGCAGCCTAGCGCAACGGTTCCTCCACTTTGGGCAGCAGGTGCGTCAACACAACACGGAGGCTCCAGTAGACTTGGTGTTCCGTCTGCACGACAATTCCTCGCGACCGAGGACGCATAACCGCCCCACTGTGTCTGAAGTGGCTGCGACTCTCATTGAGGATGGCAACCTGGCTCAGCCTCGGGATCTACTTCTCTTTACACGCGATCAAAGGCTGCTACGTTTGTATGAGACTCACGCCGAATTACGATCACTCCAATACCCGCTTCTCCTTCTATATGGAGAGAAGGGCTGGACCTACACAGATGAGTTCGCGAATGGTGCTGAGTATCGAAACAAGAAGGCGATGTCGCTTCGTGAACACGTCGCGTTCCGCCTTCATCAGAAAGTGGATGATCAGTCCGCTCTCCCTCAAGGTGGGCGTCTATTTCAACAGTGGTGTGTAGATCAGCGTGCAAAATGTGAGCAACAACAGCTTCGCTGGGTGGCCGACAATCAGAAAACACTTCGCGCCGATCAATACAGGGGTGTTCAAGACGCTTTGCTCAATGAAGATACTTTGGCTCTGGCGGAAGGAGAAGTGCTGCTGTCGGAATATGACCGGGCCCAGAACAGATTGGTGCACCCGGACCGGGACGGAGGCAGCAGAGGACGACCAACTCACTTTCTTAATCAGGTTGGCAAGCGTATCATACTACCGCCTTCGCAGCTGGGTAGCCCGCGGTCCATGTACAAGTCGTATCAAGATTCGATGGCAATTGTTCGGGAGTATGGACGGCCCGACGTCTTCCTGACTGAAACGTGCAACCCCAAATGGGACGAGATTCTTGAAGCGATACCTTCCGATATCCAGACAGCTCAAGATCGACCAGATATCGTGGCTCGCGTCTCACAGCCGAGCCCGCAACAGACGCGACCTCAAAAATAATCTACCGAGTCGTGTATTGACCTTTACTTAAGTTTGCTGGGGACAAAAATGCCGACTTGTGTGGTAGTATTTTACGAGACAGGCTTCACCGCTGCTAAAGCGTTGTCATGGGCACGCGGCTTCATCGGAAAGATCCTAGAAATAAGAAGTGCCACAGCCCGGCCGGGTCACACCGAGCTTACAGGAGAACCGCTATTATAATGAGCACTGTAGCAGATTAAACAAGAATTCTTATCTAGGAGCGGTAGCTTAACCCTCTAA